TCTCTCTCTCTCTCTCTCTCTCTCTCTCTCTCTCTCTCTCTCTTCCTCTCTCTCTCTTCGTTCATTTCCTCTGGAAAAAGTGCTGATATATTAAGGGAAGAAAAAGAATTATGCTAACTTATCGATTTTTATCTGTCTAAATATAAAAACAGATGTAACGAAATTTTTTTGATACTTTTTTCTCTTAAAATGCTGATCGCATTTTTATATCACCTCTATTCCTTTTGTTTACAAAATTTGAGTGAAAACTGTAATACAATGTGCGCTTATAGGTCCACCAAAAATAGAGCAAACAGTTTTACACACCAGAAATGTCCCTACGATGGAATCGCCGCAGAGGAAATTCTCCCTGAACGGCGATCTCTGGAGACAAGACGACAAGTCCGAGCGATCCGTCAGAGACAAAATCGCCATGTTTTCGTCGCAGAGCAGTCTGGACGCGCCTTTGTTTCCCAACGCTATGGCAGCGGCGGCGGTCACGAGCAATGGCAAACGCCTCTCCAAGTACAAATCGTCGGAAGACGTTTGCTGTGACGAGAAGAACAACGGACAGAAAGACCGGTCGTCCTTCTTCGCCGACAGGACGCAGAGCTCCTTCGATCTCACCGACTCAGCTAGGACTTCCACCACACAGGACTCGACGAGAAAATACAGCCAACGAACGCCGAGTTTGCCTCAAACCGCTCAGCCGGCTCTCTTGAATTCGACAACGCCGACTTCGCGCGTCCCGAAGACGCTGCCGGTCGTTCCGCCGAAGAACGCGCCACTACCCAGTCCATTGGTGCCTTCGTATGACAAGCAGACCTTCTCGAACGCGAAGAACTACTGTACAAACATCTCCGATAACGGTGGCAGCTTGCAACCAAACATTGCGTATCCGAACATTAATAAATCTGTGGGTCCTTGCAACAATTCCAATAACTTGTCCAAGACACCGAGCACATCCTCGTTGACGCGCGCCACGAGTTTCTCAGGCTCGATGCCCTTCATGCAAGATCGAGGTGCCTTGACAGCCGACCCGCAGATCGCACGAACGAACTCACTGGCGTCCACATTTAGGCGACCTGGAGAAGATGCGAGAAGAAGTAGCCTGAATCAGCTGATTGAACAGAGGCGGCGCTCGATATCGAAACTACGCGGTCTCGTCATACCAGAGAAAGATCCTGTCCTAATCGATCAGCCTATCGTCGACTTGCCGGAAATTAAATCACGAGACTCAATATTACTGCATCAGGTAAGAGACAAATGCATCGAGGAGAGCAGATACACTCTAAATTCCTTGGAGTGAGACTTCATTCCAAAGTAGTGAAAATTGCGCCAATCGAAGTTAGAGTGAGAACTCACTCCAAACGAATGAAAAAATTGCTCGCTTGGAATGAGTTCTCCCTCGTTTGGAATGAAATTCTCGCTCTAACTTCGACTGGCGCAATTTTCACTACTTCGGAGTGAAGTCTCACTCCAAAAAATTTAAAGTGTATCGCGCCTAATTGTAAAGTTTTGTAATTGTAAGTTTCCCATCCTACATTCTCTCAATTGAAATTTTATAGATTGTTTTCAGACTAATCTTTATGTCCGGTGGTATAATTCAATTTAATTCTAGATTTGAGGCTTTCACGGCCATTGATACAATGTCTAGGTATAGCTTCCGGAATGGAGCCGTGTCTTGAATCAGCGATATGCCTATCGCTAGGTATATCGCTGATTCAAGACACGGCTCCATTCCGGAAGCTATACCTAGACATTCAATTTAATTGTTAACTCTCATTCTTTTTTGGAATATTACTAATGTATTAGGATGACGCGTCATCCTAATACGTTAGTAATATTCCAAACGAACGTGTTCTTTCCTAGGTACCAAAGGCGAGCATCCAAGACAAGTGGGGTTCTCAAAGTTCCTTAGCCAGCAACGCCAGCACGGCGAGCGCGCCCTTAAAAGCGACGACGTCTTTCAAGATGCCAGCGCCTCAAATACATTCGAAATATTCGCCGGCCTTCAAGAGAAAATCCCTGACAGTTTACGGCACATCCATGACAAGCTCCTCGATAAACGGCAGCCCGATTAAGAGTTCTCAACAGAGCGCGACTCCCACGTTCTCTGAGCCGCCGAAAAGCTTGGAAAGCATTTGCAGTCCAACGAGAAGTGACTATAGCTTCGAGTTTGCCTCAACAACCAGCTCGCCGGACGGCACACGCACCAGGCCGAAGACGGTGCAACGGAAAACTCGTATGGATTACGACGATTCCGACAACGATTCGGCCGTGAGCAGCTCTCAGAGCAGCATATCCCGCGGCTTCAGTCCGCCGATGTCTCCGGTACCGTCCGAGAGATCCACCATCTCCTCAGAGAGATCCTACATGTCCACGGAACTAAACTACCAGCGTCGACCTTTGATCGCGGACAACGTGAGCAGAAGCTCAGTGCGAGACGTCAGAGATCCGACCGGTGTCGACAAGGACCAATTCGTCGGTAGAATCGGTGTTCTCGGGGACCGAACGTACTTGCTGGAAAGATCGTCGTCCAGTAGCAGCGGCTCGAACCCGCGATCACCGCAACCTAATGAGCTCGCCTCGAGAAACTCGCAGATCCCGCAGAGACAGCTGAGGCGATCGAACAGCACCGACACCAATTGCAGTACATCTTCAACGCTCACATCCGGATCTCAAGCCAGCGCCGAGTCGTTATCTAGGCGCGTGCTGAAGCCACAGAGTGTGGAGGCGATAAATCGCAAGAACATCTTGGCGAGTGCCAGATGCCGGAGCGGCAGAGATCTGAATGGGTCGCCGTTGATCCAACGGAAGTTCTCCGACGACGAGGACGCTGCGAGAGCCGTCGAGAACGGCGGTGCTATTCACCAAAGGGTCAGCACTTCTGGAAATGAGTCCGCGAGCAAACAGGAGATCAAGATAGCTTACATAGAAGTCACAGATCCTTTCGCGGAGGACGAAGGATCGTTTCAGAAGAAGGTCACGGAGCCTAAGCTGCCGCCCAAGAGAAGCGTACCTTCACCTGCCATCAGACCACCCAAATCCGAGTTGCTGGAGCCGTCTAACGATCTGAAAATGTGGGTGCGTGCGGAGGTGAAGACCTTGGCGCGCTCCGCGGAAGAAAAATCGAATAAGTTCGACAAAACGCCCGTCGCGCCTCAAAGTCTGGACGTGTCGCCTGTGATTCACACGACGAAAAGTCGTGCTTCCATGTTCAACGAACCCGTTAAACTCGTTACAGCTCCTAATGGCGGTCTATCTTCGAAAAGCAGAACAACTGTAGAAGATACGAAGACTGCCGCAACGGAGACGGCGAAGCAACAGTGTAAAACAGCGAGCTTAACTCCCAGAAAAGGCACCGAGGATCAAAACGATCTCCTGACGATCTTAACGACGAAGAGCAGATCCAGATCGGCGATACACGTCGACGAGGGGACTTTCGGCAGATCGAAGAGTCAAATGAGTCTGGAGGACATATTAGGTGCTAAAGCGGACCCGAAGATTCTCCGCGCGCAAAGTATAGAGCCGAAGATCGAGAAGAATGGCGCGATATTGAGCCCGCAAGCGAAGTCCGCCTGGGAGCCAAAGGAAAGTCGGTACGGTAGACGGGGCTCCGCTACCTCCAATGACTCTTGGTCAGAAGAACGACCCTTCGTCTCGAAAATACCCACTTTAGGCAAAGTCAGACCTGTCGACAGCGGCGACGAGATGTCAGAGAGTATAGAAAGGACGAAGAGCGCGATGTCGAAGATACCGACGTCCCGCGGCCTGAATCGACGCAGCACCAGCGTCACCGACATGAAGAAGGCCCTGGAGAAGATCGACTCGACCAGCTCTCACCACGGTCAACCGCAGCAGCAGGCAACCAGTGGCAACGCTCACAATCGTTTTCCGAGTTTAGACAGCAGCGTGGACGAGAACGTATGCGCAATTGGCACGGAGACGGACACCGACAGATGCTACGGCGAACAATTCGGCAGTATCAGCTCGTTAGCTAGTAGCACCAGCTTGATCTCGCAGCAAGAATTAGCGCAGCTGGTGGAAGAGGCGAGTCTAGAGGAGGCGCGCGGCGCGCACGATGTCGTGGTCGTGCTGCTTCACAAGGAGAATCCCACCGGCAGTGTCGGCATCACCCTGGCCGGCGGCGCGGATTGCGAGGTGAAGGAAATCACGGTGCACCGAGTGCTGACGCACTCCATCGCGGATAGAGACGGTCGTGTGCAGAGAGGCGATAGGATCCTCAGTATAAACGGCAGGAGCACGCGAGGCCTCACGCACAGAGAGAGTATGGCGGTTTTGAAGCAACCGAGATCGGAAGTGGTCTTGGTCGTGTCGAGAGCCAAAATGGAGGAAGGCTACAGGCTGAGATCGCGAACTGCGAGTGTCGAAACCATCGTCGAAGGTAAGCGCGTGTGAATTTCCAGTCGCAGCGCCTTCTGGCGCTATTTACGACAATAGAAGACGCGGATTAAGAGAAAGAGATAAATCTGGTTTCAGGGTTAGAGACGAATGGAAGCATCGAGAATATCGCGTGGGGACCACCTTCGACCGTGGCGGTCTACAAAGACGGAGCTGGTCTGGGATTTAGTTTGGAAGGCGGAAGAGACAGTCCCCTCGGGGATAGGCCTCTCATCATTAAGAAAATATTCACCGGTAAAATTTCACACGTATCTCATCCGACATACTTTGTCGGAATGTGATTGTAACGCCGTGATAGCAAATTACGCCGATTATATCGCGATAAAAATTACGTTATACTTCGAAAAAAATAAGATAAGATAATAAGAGTATCAAGTGTGAGACTATTGTGACGGCAATCTCTATCTTTGTTTATCGTTGCAGGAGGTGCTGCCGAAAAGACAGGTGCCTTAAGAGCCGGGGACCAACTGCTCGAAGTGAACGGCAACGACGTGACACGCATGTCAAGAATAGAAGCGTGGTCCTTGATGAAGAAGCTGCACGACGGTGAAGTGAATCTCCTAGTCAGGCATCCTGCCACCAAGTCCTCGTGAAGAAAAATAATTCACGATTGGGCTGCAACGATGCGAACGGAGTGCAGGAATGTGCCAAGCAAGCGACTGCATAATTTTCTCGATCAATATTCGTTAAAATAGGCATAATGATTAATAACATACGTTAATTTGTTGTTCGAGAAATATAAAATATTAGATTCGATTTTAACGCAAGAAGCTATTCCTTATCGGGTTTGGATCATCGTTGTAGAAGCTTGTTCGAAGACGAATCTAAACATGAGAAAGAGAGAGAGAACTCGTGAATCACAGTCACGAGGTTTGCATAACTTCTACAAATTTTAAGATATCGCTTTGTAGTCAAAGTCGAATATCAGCATCGCCGCAATTGAAGAGACAACGTATTCTACGTTTTTCAAATGTCCGAACTACGAATCAAATAGCTGTCGTATATATTCGCCGGCCTGATGATTACGTAAAGTTATCCACCATATCTCAATTTAACTCTCAATTAAGCAGAAAGCGAGAGAATGTGCACGACGCAGGTCTACAATTTGCTAATTTATTTCGCCTTCCGATCAGGCGCCCTGTAGGTATTATACTTTTAGCGGATATCATCCTGTACGTAATTAGCAGTAAAATAATGTATCGTTCGAATGCGAGTAAATTTGCGGTACAATGTAACGGTTTCATGCGATTATATTTTCATACTTGGAGATGCGGAACGCATGAAAGATGAAAGAGGAATTAAAGATGAAAATTTCCGATTTGAATGAATAATTCGAAACGTAGTTATGTGTGTGAATTACGACTACATGCAACGATTAAAAAATAATGAGCGACTTATCACACACGATATGTAATCACGAGCATTTCATTGAGACGCGTGTCAATTAGTCTCTCTTAATGACGTATTTTTTAATGAAATATGCGCTTGAAAATTTCGATACGATGTATGCCATACGCAGCGAACCGTAATCTTATTCAAATGGAGTAGATAGGCGTGTCAATTGTTCATTTAGGAGCAACGTGTCGATACGTCGTTCGTACGACATTAATTACATAGTGCCGGCCGTGCAGTAATAGTTTGAATTAAGTTTGCGACACGAGCGAGTAGTGCCGAGATATAATTAAAATACAAGCCTGATTGTACGAATCCTTTTAGTAGATCGCTCATTTTCGATCGATATCGCCGTGTAGCCACCCTATCGCTTTACTATAGGTTCCTGTTAATTTACTCTTTAAGGCACACACGAACGAGACAGAATATTTCTCTTATAAAATCGCAGTTACACGCTGTTCGTGGAACATGAGTAAAACACGCGTGTATAACGCAAAGGATATATTATTTCAGTTCTCTAAACATTAACACGAATAAGACCGTACGAATAAGTTTCCTACACAAGCAATTTTGCCGCCCTGTCGCAGCTACTAGCAATAATTGATGACCTTGTGTGTCACAGCGAAAAAAGAATCGCTGATCGCTATTAAAATTTAAAATTTAATCAATTTTTCAATCAATTTTTTTAAGTTCATTAAAAACGATGAAAAAAAGAGAAACAGGAAACAAAGTATCTTAATAAAGCTGTGTACTCGCGAATACACCGGTTGCGGCATTTCTTTGCAAAGAATGCTGGAACAGGCGAAAGTCGCGACACTGTCCACACGATTTTTGCCTGTTTCCTAAAAGAACTTGTGTAAAAGCTAATCTACAATACGCGGAGTAAATTTTGCGTGAGTTAGAAAGGAGGAAATAAAAAGAAATTATTTCGCTCATAAATAAAGAGAAATTATTTCGCTTATAAATAAAAAGAATTTATTTCGCTTACGCCTATGCTTTAACTCCCTTACACCAGAAGTATTTTTCTTAAGAGAAATACTTCCGGTATAAGGCAGCTATAGACGTGAGCGAAATAAATTCTTTTTATTGCTTACTCCACTTTTATACGCCAAGCTTATTGTATACGAACCTTAACAATTATGTTATAGGATGTAAAATGTGGCAATCTGCGAGTATATCCATTGCGGTACATTGCATATAATCGAAGAATTTGTTTCTGAATAGAATCTCACGCACTTATTTTTGCAAGATAAGAATAACGCATTACAGAGTCGCGAAATATTACTGATGTGGGATACGTAACCACAAAATTTTCATTTATCTAACATACAAATTTTTAAGGCCACGTTCGAAAGTAAACTCTTCGATTACATAAGGATATTTCCAAGCAGGCGTCATATATGCCTCAGCATTATGATTAGGATTAGTTGAATGATTTTTATCTTTACGCATATCGTAAGGAAATCGTTAAATAACCTAGAAAATTAATGTTAAGGCATATATGTCATTTTTTCCGTACGCGCGATAAGGATGTAACAGAACGGAATATGCACCAAGGGTGCTTACCATGGACGAGGTCTTCGGAAAGGCCTGAGTTGCGTGAGAAGCAGAAAAAATGGCGAGTAAGAAAAGATCCGTTGTGACTCCAATTATCTTCTTTCCCTCCGGGAGATTCATGTCGTTGCTAAAAAGAAAGAGATAATAGACTTTATTCCCCGCCATTGCGCATCTTCTCTTCCGTAATTTTCGTCATTACTATACATACCTATATCGATCATAAATTTAGAGCCTGACGTGCATCAAACGATAAGAGAAAAAATATTTCGCGTTGAATCGCGCGGGAGACGCATTATTACTCGCGTCGATTGCTTTTTCGATTTCGCACTGGGATCTATTGAACTCTGATTTATACTTGTCTTATATTCCCAGATAACATAAAATCTTCAGAGATTATTCTGGGACGTTCTTAGGATGTATGAATATCATTAGAATGTCTTTAAAACGTCCTTTGAAGATTTGTGCTGTATGAGTTGAGCTTGTATGTACAATCTGTACAGCACAAATGTCTTAAATATATGCCAAAGACGTCCCAGAGATGTGTAATACGGAACGTCTTAGGATGTATTTTGGACATTTGTGCAAGCATGCCTTTTGGTTGTGGGATTTATTTCTCTTTGACTCTCGTTTATGTCTTGGTATAATTACTCGACTATAAGTGGACCATTATTGTTACCTTCAATTATTCATCAAAATCGCTCCGTGAGCAAACGAAAGAAGTTCGGAATCCCAATGCGAGGAGCTAGACAGCTAAAAGCAACCGTGAAGACTGCGCGGGCGGATCAAAGTGATCGTTAACCGACGACGAACATGTCGCCACCCGTCTCTACATGAAGTTAGCCATAAACAGGCGTAGATTCTCATTGGCGAATTAAAATCGAGTTATGACGGACTGCAAAGTTCGATTGCAAACCAAATTCAAATTTGTTTTAAAAGTTTGAGGTTGTGATATAAAGTTTTATCGTTCATCGATTCGTTTAATTTAAAAAGCAACTTGATAATTATTTGAATAAGTTTCTACTGCTCTTCATATGCTTCGAGTTTCTGAAACAGTACCCTTTCTGTTATATTCTTACGTCTATTGTTACTAAATTTCTAATATAATATGTGTATGTGTGTATAACAGGAGAAACAGAACGCGCGATATACGAGTGTGCGCACGAGTGTATGAATCAATTAGTTTATTCTACATCGCAATTGGAATTACATAATTGAACCGAGCTAGGAAAAAGAAGTGTCATATATATAATATAACAAATATTATTATTAATATAAAGGTATATATATATACATATATATTGGAATATATATTTAAACATATAAATTACTTTTGGATCTGCATTTCTTAAAATTCGTGCTGTGATATACACGTGAGTGTCACGATTTAGCGTAAAACAGCTATTGATTTAAAAAGAAAACTAATCAATATTATTACATATTTTTTAAACCACTGTAAATTCATAAATAAAGTATTCAGCTATTTGCGTTCGTATTGTTTAATGTTATAAATATGCTTTTTTACTGCATACTCTTCTACTACACATGTAAAACACATTGTAAACAGGGACACTATAACTTATACTAAAGACATAGAATTTCTCGTGCAACACACGTAAAAAGAAACAAAAATAATTCAGATGAGTCAGATTGAATCCAACCACGGAAACAATCCTTTTCATTCGATATGTAAGAAAAAAGAGAATTGTTTTCTTACGTATGTGTTATATTGAAAAATGACTATGTTCCAATCTTTTTGTGTGTTCGTTTAATATATTTATTAAATACTACAGTTGTACATTAAAAATCGTAATAACAGCAAATTGTACATAGAGATGATCAATACCAATAACATTTCTTTGGAACACGATCTTCTTTAATACCCATGTTCTCCATAATGTCCATCTCAAAAGTCTTTAACGCTGGCTACGAATGAAAAAAATGCTATTTGATAAATTTATATGCTAATAGTACATTTCTTATATTACAAATAGCAAATTTGTTATTTTAGATATTGTAATGAAATATATCGATTTAATGCATTAAACTTTTCAATAACAGAATTTATGGATATAAATAACGGAATTTGTGGATATAATACACTATAAATTCGAAGAAATATTCTGCACCTTACGTACCTTAAAAGTTACTTTTAGTACATCAGCACTAACTGTATCCTTTGGTTGTTCTTTATATAATTTGGGACTTTTATAATCTTTCGTTTCCATACTGGAATGAGGAATAGGAATTATTCTACCAGTTCTTGTAGATATGCGTACATGGTTGCCATCTTCTGTGTATCGCCATTCTATTGACGTTCCTTCCCTATAATGATTGAATTTATATTATGAAACACACATATTTCTCACGTTATTGATGTTCATAAATCCTTTCATAAAGTAAGTTTCTCAAGTAAATAATAATTACATGTCCGAAGGATCAACTAATTGCACATCTGTGGTTACTAGTAATGGTTGTTCCCGTTGTATGTATAAACCAGGAAAGTTTTTTTCCTTCATGATGGAAGTCAACTTTGTATTAAGTCCTTCGACTATAATCCAATTCCTTTCTTGATAAATATCTTTCACAATTCCTTGCTTTCCTTTATCTTTTCCTACTAAAACTTCTACCTGTATAATTATGTAAAGATATTAGTCTAATAGTATACAATATCTTATAACTTATACACTACATTAATATTCTTAAAGAATAATAATTTCTTCTGTTTTGCAAATTTAAATTTATAAGTACAAAGATTGATATACCCTATCACCACGAAAAAAAGACCATTTCTTGATGGGTTCAACATGGATATATTGCATGTTGCGGCCACGTTGATTATCGCGACTAAACTCTGTAGTCCATGGACGATGTATAGAATAATAAAATCGTCTTCTTCCAACTGCACGTGGCAAATAATTGGGCTTTCCACGAGGTGTCTTCCAAGTAAACTAATCATATTGCATAAATTAATAAGAAATACATGTATTCAAATTGATAGAAAACAGAGTGGTAAGATATCAAATATAAGAGTGATAATGCTGTATTATTTTCTAAATAATTTAATAATTGTTTATACCTGTTCCAATGTCCGTTTAATATATGATTCTGGTAAATTTGCATATTTCTTTGACCATTCTCCCACACCACGTTGTAACAAGCATGATATTAATCTCATTTTTGCTCTCTCCAAATCTGTTAAAATTCAGATGTATCTAATTCTAATTATTAAGTTTATTATTTTCAACTGATTGTGTCAAAGTTTTGTTTCTAATTTTTTTTAACATACGTGGCTGTTATATATACATACGTTGTTTCAACTACTTTGAAGATTGTCCTGTTGTGAGATTTATTTTTTTGTAACATATAATTTGACGTATCAAATGCGTAAAAACTTTTATTTCTTAATAATGACGCTTTATAACCAAATCTAACCTCTTATGGCCATTTTCACCATCTCCGATTATCTTAACCGGCTAATTATTCTGTTGGAACTCACCAATCGCACTTGTCGTTTAACAAGATTAACCAATTACCGTGCACATTTAACCAGTAGTTAAGGTAACTGGAAATGGTGAAATGGCCATTAAACTCGTCAAAATAGGGAGCGTCCCGATTGACCACGGTACGATTGGACACAACCAACCGATGAAAAAATTATCTAGTGAATACTAGGTCGAACCAATCATTACAATCTGTGTCCAATCGTATCGTGGTCAATCGGGTTCCACCCGTCAAAATATAGCATCAACGAACTTTGCTTTTCAAGTAGTACGACTCAATGACTTTGTTTACATGGCAGCTTAAAACCGGTTTAGTAACTACCGTAGTTAGTGAACTCTTGAATCCGATTGGAGTATATTTCTAGATCTAAAAGAATATACCAATCGAATGCGAGAGTTTACTAAATACGGTTGTTACTAAACCGGTTTTGAGCTACCGTGTAAACTTAAGAGACGTCTACATTGGAAGTAAGAAATTGACCAACCATAGTCGAATGTGAGAAGAATAATCAACTATAATTGGTCAATTTTTTATTCTTCCTACTTCTTACTTCCAATGTAGACATCCCTTAAAGGGACGTCTACATTGGAAGTAAACAGTAAGAAGTAGGAAATAAGAATAAGAAATTGACCAATCATAGTTCATTATTCTTCTCACATTCGACTGTGGTTGGTCAATTGCTTACTCTTACTTCCTACTTCTTATTACTTACTTCCAAGACGTCCCTTTAGACTTTTTGCGTTCAGAAAATAAAAAGGATCCTACACTGCTTGACACACTAGCGCTGCCACTTATTACGAGAGCAGAAGAATGGTATATACCGTGGTTGCTTTACAACAAGAGATACAAGTCGACACAAGTATCATCCTATCTTTGTTACTCACTAAATGTGGAACAAAGATAGAATGATGTTTATGTCGACTTATGTCTCTTATTAGAAAGCAACCTGTATATGTCATCCTTCTGCTCTCGTAATAAGTGGCGGCGCTGGCGTGTCAAGCAGTGGTTGTCTCTCTCCTGAAGTTGGGACGCGTTCCGAAATCTACAAAAAATCGGTGCATAAACCTTTTATGACTCCTGCACACAGGACATGGTAATGCTTGCTACGCGGCGGAAGTTCGCACGACAGCCAATCAATATGCTGTTTTCCGTAATAACCTTCTAGCTCTTACGAAAAAACAACATATTGATTGGCTGTCACGCGGACTTTCGTCGCGCAGCAAGCATTACCGCGTCCTGGGTAGCGATCATGTAACTTTTCCCCTACGGCGAAAACGTGAAAAGTGAAAAGTTTCACGAGTTGAACTCGAGATAACTAAATTCAGCGAAGCGTAGAAACGTGAAGCTTTTCACGTGAACATGTTAGCCATAAAATGTGCTGGCGGAAAAGTGAAAATCTAGTGACATAATGAATACGAAATATATTATGCTACTGCTATGATGAGATATAGGAAACATAACAGTCCTAAGATTATAGCGATGTTTTTAAGGTTATATATTCCACAGCCGATGGATAGCTGATTTAGTCGATATTGGCTGCATTCAGTAGACTCAACAGTTGAGACATCTGTTTCCGATGGATCGAACTCCGCTATGAATTTTCTACTGGATTCGTTTGTGATATCGCTACTAGTAAAGATGGCTACTTCTAATGTATTACTTTAAAATAAAAGCGGATAAGGTTAAGTTAAGAGTAGTTTGACAGTAAAATTAAATTTGAAATACTTACGAATAATTTATAAAACAACATTGCATTATAAAGTTAAGTTATGTTATTACAGGAAATCTATACGTTCATACAGGACCTAAGCAGAATAGCTATCTTGTAAACTTACGACAATGTGTAATACAGTTTAATTATTGTTAATTTAATATTTTTACATGTATAAGTATGTATAAGTATTTCTTACACTTATAAATATTTCTTGTAAATGTTAACAAAATAATATATATGATTAAGGTTTAAGGATCGATTGTTCCAACTTCTTGGTAAGTTAATTGATAGTTAAATTATATCTCTGTCTTTGTTTTTCCTTCAAATTAAGTAAAGATAAACATATGATTTAATACTTAAAAACAAATATGCCTTACATTTTTATTTTAAGGCATAATTGTTTTTAACCATTAAGTCAGCCATTAGTTTAAGCCTTTACAGATATTATACTAGTAATAACAAAACAATAAATCAAAATATTTTTTATGCCAGTAATGTCAGTAATACATGCAAGTATATTACAAAAAGAGAGGTTAGATTATTAATAATAATAAATATATTACATTAAATTATTTCGAATAATAAAATTTATTATTATTCTTACATACCTGATTGAAGACGAGTATGAAAATCAGCATTTTCTATTATTTTATATAACTCTCCTTTATATTCATATATTTTTTCTATGACATCACTTTTCTCACTAGACGTCGCCATGTTAGATTGTATCACTTTCCGCTCAAATAGCGTAAATGAAAACCGCTACAAAATATGGCGTCCGCTCCCTCAACTTGTTGAGATGTAACAACTGAGCGGAGCGTCATTCTCATCAACAAAACGTATTGTATTGATAGAATGCGTCGCTGTGTTGATATGCATTGTCGATATTAAGACTATCTAATAGAAAGTTACTATTTAATACGCGTATCAAGTGCACGATGTAAACCAGGCCATTGACCTAGTTTATATCGTGCACTTAATACGCGTACTAAATAGTAACTTTCTATTAGATAATCTTAATATCGACAATGCATATCAACAGCGACGCATTCTATCAATACAATACGTTTTGTTGATGAGTATTATACTAGCTTAATATACCGTTGTTTATATATATCATCGATATTAAGATTATCTAATAGAAAGTTACTATTTAGTACGCGTATCAAGTGCACGATGTAAACTAATAGCGAATTCGGTAGCTTGCACTAGTGCGCACTGAGTGCGCATTAAGGCTTGTTTACAGTACATTCTTATATTTAAGATCGTGTCTTAAATACATATTTAAAAACATTTTAACTAATAAAATGATTCGTACGGATGTTATACATATCATATTATGGTTAAAAATATTTGAGAATTTATTTGAGAATTATTTAAGACAATTTTTAAATATAATAAGATACTATGAACAAGCCTTAGTGCGCACTCAGTGCACACTAGTGCAAGCAACCGAATTCGCTATAAGCCATTATGTATAAAAATGTCAAAAGTACAAGTAACGCGAACGAACTTCCGTATGGCAACTTTTTTGTATACTGAGCGATCTTTCTGTTGGCGCTAATTACAAACATCTTTAAGAATAATTACTGATCTATAAAATATGTTTCGCGAGAAACTACGCAAAATGTATATCTTTGCTTGATATCGGCACCAATGACGTATTATAGAAAATTTTACTTACATCTTAGAAGATACTATTGTGCGCATAGATAATCTCAATAATACTAAAAATAGGTTAGAAAATCAGCTCCGTGTTTGACGTCCACAGAAAAAGTTTGCGTTATCTTACACAAGTTACAATGCTAGTTTCGGTGATTAAAAGTATCCCATATAATTTCCGACGAGTCACAACATGTGTTATTTCTAGGAATAAAACAAAGATTAAAGTCGCACAATATTACGACGAGTCGAATCTATTATCTACTTCGTTTCCACATCTTGCTGCCTGTAGAATTTATAGTACTGAACGTGATTCTCAACCGCGGGTCACCTTACCTATGCTCGTAGAAGATGCTCGTGTACAGTTACCATCTGTTTTTGCTCCATTGAAACTTCTTTATTTGTCAACCTTTAAAATTTTTCCACACATAGATAAAGAGTTTGATGCACACGAGGTTGTCGAAGGAGCCAAATATGTATGATTTCTTACATCTGACTGAAAAGCATTGTTTACACTTTAATAAACACATTTATCGCAATTTTAGGCGTCAATAGTAATATCTAAGGCACTATCAAATAAGGACTTTGAATCATTACAAGGCCTTGTGACAGACGATATGATTGAAATCTTAAGTAGAAAGATTGAAACCTTCAGTCCTAATGAAAGACAACTGATTGAATTGAACAACGACAACATTATATTTTATGTTTTATCTGATATTACAGCTACTACAAGTTCAACTAGTAATACTTTTTAAATTAATGTTACAAAATATAATAGTCAAGAATATATTGAACATGTGTTTTCTCTTTCTCTCTCTTTCATAGGTAGTGAGCATTCCATTGAAATTGCAACAATGTGTCACTATATGCCAAGCAATATTGACAAAAGATCTAAAACACTTGGACCAGTATATATGGAATATGCTCTAGCAGCTAACCAACTAATATGTAATTATAAGTTTATTCGTAAATATGTAAATAATATTGGAGGTCCTTGGATTGCAACTTTTGTGAATCATTATACTGTCTAATATATAAACATATAAGTATTTCTGTTTATGTAAGTATATAAATATATTTGTAATATAGCTTCAAATAAAAGCCTGTACTGATCCCTTCAGTTCCTTGTCATTACTGAAAAATAATTGCAGGTTTTTCATATTCTAATATATACTATTTTGTATATTTTTAAATAGAAAATACCTTCTTAATATACATAAGTGCATATACATACATACATATACACTAATCTTTATGTAAAAATATCCATTTAAACAATATAAAGATATCATTTCTGTAAAAATATAAATCATTTATGTACACACACACACAATACATATTAGCTGTTGATACTTTCCAATATTAATGGAATATAATTTTTAATATGTAACAATGTAGCACCAATAGGAGTTCCATTTTTTGAAACAGATACAACCAAGGGTCCCTGTAAAAAATGTTTGAAAAAATATTAATATTAACATTATGTATATTATTATACATACTGTGTATACAGGATTATCGCGTATAAAACTTTCATATATATAGTACACCATATAGTACCTGACACATCTGTGGATTACATATCCAACATTCCTGCTTAGATGCAGTTTGAAACAAGTTATTTTGTTTTGTAGGCACAGAATTAAAAAAATTTACTTCTAAATCTTCTAGATTGCATACTGAAACCTTGATTATATTTAAATAAGGCTCCATAAATAATGAGATTGTAACTTTGGCTGAGATAGCAGCTTGTTTGAAGCTTATCTCAAAAGAATTCGTTGAGAAGGTTATTAATTTGTTTAGGATATTTAGAGCTGATGACGGATTTCCTGTAATAATGAAAATTATCGATACGTACACAATATGTATGAAATAAAAAGTTTGTAAGATTAGTAGCAAATGATACATGATATAAGTTACTTTTGTAAATTGCATCGGTGAGACGAAAAGGTTTGGTAATAGTTAACGCAAACATTGGTATTTGGTTACGTTCTGTTCCTTTCAACCAGGTATCTATGGCTACAATCACAAATTAGCAAAATTATTATTAAGAAAATACCTTAATATTTTAAGGCCTGTTCTTTGTAACTGCACTGCTGAATTAGTGCAATAAGTTAGAATGAGAAAACGTATATTTGTCGCACTTCAATATATTACATCAGTTCAGCAGTGCAGCTACAAAGAATAGAACTTTACAGAAAATATCTAAAGATAATGTACACCAATCTTTTTAAGTCTCTTACATTTTCCTACTTCTTCAAATACTTTTGTGATTGGGATATCTTTACTGATATATTTGCTTAGATGAGTCGCATACAATCCATACTTGCTGTTTATTCGTTCGTAACTAGGACGATGACTAGATGTGGAATATGCTTGTACTAAATTCCGTAGATTTTTCCTACTTTTAAATTCTTTAACTTTTGGTATTTCATTATGGATATCAGGATTACATTCTCTGAAACAATATTCTTTGATCAAATGCATTTGAATAGTTAAACATACTTAATTATTGATTTAATTTTATATTTAAATCTCCTTATAGTACATAAAAATAGGTAATAACTAAAAATTCTTACTTTGGTGGTACAGTTTGACACATATCCAATATTGTTACTAAAAGAGCAGGATCATTTTGTAAAAATGTAGCTAACAATTCACTCTCACAAATTGCATCTTTCCTTAAATAAGATTCTGGTGCATTAATAGCAAGCATGTAACTCTCTTGCATTTTAAAACCATGCCCAGCATAGTAGAATAATCCTATATTAACACAAACTTTCTGAGTTCACTATATTTTTACAAACATTATATTTGTAAATATACATGTATGTAATATTTGCAACTACTTACCATAAACGCCTTCTGTTAAAAATTCACCAAACATTTTTATAGCTTTTCTCATCTGTTCGGAAGATAAATTCATAAAGCAGATCACTTTAAAACCAATTTCCTTTAACAGATTACCAATTTTAGCAGCATCATTTTTGGGTGTCTTCAAACATTTATGATACTCATAATCATTATTTGCAATAATTAAAGCTATTTTTGCAATTGCCTTTTGACGAGGTAGATCCATCTACATATATTAATATGAATTAATATCTGATAAAGCAGTATGTATAAATTATTATGTGATTCCAGTTCTTACCAGTATATGACATCTTTGAGTAACAACTTCACTGACACTGTTAGTTATGTAGCAATAATACTTTCCTTCATATTTAGAATTAAATTGTTTTATCTAAAACATGAAATATTTTTGTGTGTGAAATATAGTTTATTAATATTAATTTTATATATACTTACATGTAATACATTGGATATTTCTCCTTCTAATCTTGTATTGTCTCGGAACCATTGATAATGTGGTTCAGGATGGCTGTGCACTGTACAACTAATTGTGAAATCTTCTCCTTCTTTAATCTCTAAAAGGGTTGGTGGTTGTTGTTGTATCACTACAGGTACTGGAGATATATTAACAAACACTGATTTAGTTAATAATACAGAAATTATACTTTCATCATTAGTCATTTGTGAGACTTTACACTTGTATTCTCCAACTTGACTGGAACTATAACAGATTTTGTGCAATAATTAATTTGTTGCATTGTATTTGTATGTTCAAACATGATATTTTTACCTAGTTAAGATAATATCAAGTTCATGGCTTTGCTGTTCTTGTAACTCAATGTTGTTATGATACCATTTATAAGTTGGTAATGGTATGCCATTAGCTTTACAAGAAAGACATAGGTGTTTGCCAAAAGATAGTTCTAACGTATTACATTCCATATCATCAGATGGATGTTTGATAATTGTTAATGGCTCTAACAAAGAATAAAAGATACTATTAAAAACATAATTAAGTTTTTTTTATTATGTATGTATGTACAAATAAATAAAAGAGATAGCTCAAAAAATATTTGAATATAAATTTGAATATAAGTGAAACTGACAGTTTTGAAATGTTACATGTATAATTATTTCTATTTAAACAAAAACAAATATATATGTATTACCTGGATGATATAAAACTGATAGAACATTAATAAGTTCACAGTCTTTAAGTAATGTACATAATATACCAATTGTACACATTTTTACATTTAACTCAAACAACAGATTATCCGCTGGTGTTTTTGTAGAATCGGTGTTTTGTTGTAACGATTGTAGCCATGAGTTACTGTGATAGAATAGAGAAAATAATTAAAAATAATTTCTTATTAATTAATGTTTATAACAGTAATCTGGATTATCTCAGGATAATCATTTTTACCATGGATATCCAAGTTGTTCAGCTAAGTGGCAGGCCAGTACTTTCCAATTTGATTTTTTATTTAATTCATAGATCAATTCCTTGTATACAGGTAGTGGGATATGTTCCAAGTACATATCTTCGTCAAATCTTGCCATTCTTAATATTCTTATTTCTTCCACTTTTACACAATGAGTAATAAAATTACAATTTTATCGGAGTTGCATGTGATTTACTGCACAGTTAACGAGTTAACACTCGTTCTAACACTGAATCATTCTCGATAAAAGAAGGAAATAGAAGGAGGAAATAAAAGAAGGAAAATTTTTGTTGAGATGTTTCAGGGAAAATAACACATTTATTTTAATCCTTATTTCCAAGATTCATTCTCTCTCAATCTCTCTCTCTTTCCTTTGCCGACGGAAATGTAGAAATATTTCACAAAATAATAACTCGATGTATTAATGGAAACTTATAATCATATTTAATTTTATTCACTTCGTAATATTATATATGCATATAGGCCATCGCGTATACAGACAAACGTAGAAGCATTATGAGCTTTTTTTTGCGACAGTTTAGTCCAACATTACATTACTGCACAAGCTTATCGGGCACGCTAATTGGCTATCGGATAAAATATGAAATGAATGAAGAATAGTAGATCAGAGTCATCCGACTAGAAACTTCACACATTCATAGACTTATAAAGACGAATTCATACGGCGCGTAATGATCGCGCGCAGAGGAATCGACCAATCACGTGTATACAACTTGGAGAATGCTGCGTTTTCACGCAATCGCAATACACGCGCGTCAGGAAATTTTACAGCGACCTCTTGCGACGAGCTCCAATAAAAATCAATCGCAGCGCGCTCGTCTTTGACAGAATCGTCAGTTGTCTATTGCGGATGCGACCGCAAGTTAGCGGGATACCGCGCGACCAATCGCACTACGAAATGCGGATCCTGCGCAATGCGCATGGCGCGCTGCGCCGCATGATCTTGCGTATCAGTGTTCGCCAGTGCCATCCAGGAGGCACATAGTGAGCGGGTTACGGGATTATAGCGCGATTACTGGCCGTACGATTCCGCCGAACAGCGGTGCGTCGTCCGTCGGGACGACGACGACGACGACGACGACGACGACGAACGGAGGGAAAGAGAGAAGCCGCAAGGGGGCAGAGTGCCGACGACGACGGAGGTGGTTGGTGGTGTTGGTGATCGTGCTCCCGCTGGTGGTAGTTGGTGGTGGTGGTGGTGGCGGTGGGTGCTCCCCGGGTTCCGCGCGCGCGAGAGAGAGAGTGTCCGCGAAAAACTAGTGTCGAGCCATCATGGCGAACCCACGGAAATTCAGTGAAAAGATTGCGCTGCTAAACCAGAAACAGGCGCAAGAGACGGCGGCGTTCGAGGCGATCATGCGGGAGGTTTCGGACGTCACGAGCAGGGTAAGTGGAAATATTCTCTAGTGAGTTCCCCGTGGCGTGGGAGGGTCGTGTGCCGTGTGTCGTGCCGTGACCCGTCGTGCACCTCCCTCGCGCGGCTCAGATGTTAGAACGTAAACAACGAGTGTCCCCTCTGCCTCTCCTACCTTCCCCCGCGCCGAGCCGTTCTTCGTCTAATTCCTATCTCTTTTCCCGTTGCACTTACAACGTACGCGCGGATATGTAGTGTATGTTATGTGTTTCGTTGTCATATGTGCGTGTGTGTGCGTGCGTGCGTGCGTCTATGTGTGTGTGTGTGCGCGCGTACAATCAGGTTGCTTCGCGAGCGTGTATATGCGATGCAAGTGCATCCGCGCGCGCGCGCGTGAATGTGTGTGTGTGTTGTGTGTGTGTGTGTGTGTGTGCCGCGAGCGACGTATACACGACGCGCTGCGATGTGTGTTGCGTGTGTACGCTCGCGACGCGCGAAAGCGCGAGTATTTTGATTGCGAGAGCGCGATCGCGCGACGTGCTCGCGTCTTTCGCGCTTCCACAGAGCGAGAAGGAGCATGTTTGACCCGCAACTCGCAGCGTGCGAGCGCAATGATGCGACGACGCGCAGCTGAATGGTCGCTCGAAACGCGTATCACGATCGCACGATAAATTGGTCTCTCTACGCGGCGCCTACTCGCTCGGCGCGGATGCCGTTTGAAATTCGCGTCCGTCAAGACGCGTCGAGCCATGTTCGTTCGCACGACCCGCGCTGTTCGTTCGATTTGGACCATTAATTGTCCACCTTCCACAATTAATCGGAGCACCGAGTTAGTGTCTTTTAGTTCCCGTGCGGGAACAATTTACTCCCGGACGTCAGAAAAGTCAGACGCGTCCTTCCTCGCCTACAATCTCGACGAACGGCTTGACGTTCGATACGTTTCGATTCGTTTCGATACGCGCGTAAACATCCCACTCGCATTGGTAGCGGTAGCGCCGGCCCCTCCAAGTATTTTCAATGGGAGCGCCGGCGAGAGGTTGGGTCGATGCATTCGGCGTCCTCGAGAATGATGCCACCTCCGCGTGCGCCGCGCGGTTAAATAAAAACTATGTGCCGGCGAGCGTTCTCCGTTCGCGCCAAAACGGACAAGTGACATTCGCGGAGACGTAGCACGAAATTATTACGGCAAGTCGTCTTGGGGCAATTCACGTGAAAATTCGTTATCTATGCGTGACGTAAACACGCGTGCAAGACATGGAGATAAAGACGTCTCGAGTAAAAACGCGAACGTAAACTCAGCTGTCAACCACTACCTGTCAACCGTCGTATCGTTCAAGTGTCAGCTGATGACCTCTAAACTGTCGATCATCCCTACCGAAAACAAGTTCCGTTAGGTTTCACGTTATTCCGCGAAAAGTTTCGTGAGCGCGTCGTCAAGCCAAATTTGTTCATAGTCGGAACGCGCGGTACCGTTCGAAAGGCGATCGGAGAACGGAATCCAGGCATCGGCTGAGGAGATAAGAACCTGTTTATCGCGCGGTCCATAAGCGCGTCGATACTGCGCCGCGAGACGTAGAATTACGGAGTTAATCAGACGAAACCTCGAACAATCAATCGGCCGCGCGAACAAACGAGACTCGATTCGAAACGCGAGACTGCGACCGTAACGCGTAATCATCGGCGATAATCAGCGTCGAAATTGAACGTGTTGCGAAATTGTCGCGAAGGCGAAAAGAGAAACGCGAGAAATCGACGACGCAGTCACGCACTCGAAAGCGATAGAAACGAAAATATCCCGAATTCTTCGTCACTGAATGGACAATCGATCCGAATACGTTTTCAAAGCCTGGGCCCTTCCATCTGGGAGCTTCCATTTGTTATTCGAGTGTTTGGAAAATTCGGACGATGATGATGATTATCATCATCGTTATCCCAATTCATGCCGGTCGCGATGGAACGGAGATTCTACTCCGACGATACCGAGCACAAATACAAAGTACAAAACGCAAAATACAAAGAAGGAACTCTCGATAAATATGGAAATCGTAGAGGACGACTTGATCGATTTGAGAACGGGCGCACGGACAAAGTTCGTGCAAAAATGATATCCGATGGCGACGACTAAGCGTCGGAGACGCGCCGATCCGACCAACGGCACCGGCGGCTAGAGATTAAGGGGCCTACATTGTAACTTTCAACGACAGAGTGCCGTTATCGTTTACGTTGTCGTTGCGCAGCTGATATATATCAGAAGAGCTACGCAACAACTCACAACATTACGATAACAACACTGTAGTTGAGGGTTATAGAATGGGGCCCTAAGTAGAAAAAGAGCGCTTGCGATTGCAACGTGCGTGTACGAGACAGACGATGGCCATGGTTGGTTGTCAATGACGGACTTGCACAGGTGGCCTCGGCGAGCAGCTCGGTGGGTGCTAGTCCCACGGGATCCGGCGTACCGGAGACCCCGCTGTCCGTCAAGAGTGCCGGCGCCAGTCCACCGCAGTCCAGCGGCAAACATCTGCACATTAACCTGGGAAATCAGTTCAGGGCGGGCGGCTCGCTGCCGAACGTTAACAACAATGCGAATTGCGGCGGCGACGCGAAAGAGCACTCCTCGCCGCATACCGGCGCGATCCACTCGATCGACCTTAAGGTACTGCTCGCTCTCTCTCTCTCTCTCTCTCTCTCTTTCTCTCTTTCTCTCTCTCTCACACACTCTCTCACTCTCTATCTCTATCCATGCCAGAAAGAAGTTATCCTCCTTCCTTTTATTATGGTTGTTGTTGTTGTTATTGTTACCCTTACGCCTTGTTGTCGTTCACGAACGTTTTGCATCCAACCCACGGAACACCCTATTCTTGTTTCACGGAGAAAAATTCTTCCGAGTCGTTACTCCAGCCGTCTCGAATTTATTCGGCGAAGAGAGACTATTCGCTCCGCGTACTCGTCAATCGACTTGTGCCACTCGTGTGTAGAGATGTAAAATTATCGTCAGATTTTCAAAGTGATTATTCACGATAAAATTACGGTAATTTATTGGCAATTTTGATAAAACTCGTTGCTCTTGATAATTTCACAAGTAGGCTGTACTTCGTGTTTTTAGCATTAATGCAAATGAGATAAAACATTTTTCTTATATTCTCATGAAATATACAAATGATAATCTCTGAAGTGTCTTCCAGACAAAAAAAAAAGACTTTACTCGAGAGAGTGTTAAAGTTTCCATTTCTTAAAATATTACTACAAAATTACTTAAAATTTTTATTTTTATATGTCATAGTCTATAGTTACTGAGACAGCAATTGTTAATAAATCAAAATGCTGCAAGCTGTAAAGTATGATAGTATAAGAAATGCAGATTAAGACTGTACTTGTCACATCTTTTGTTTTGAAAATCCTGATAAAAAAAATATTTTTAGAATTTCTCTAATTACTATGTATTTCTAGTTTCCTAATTGCTATATATAATATATTAATATACAGTATGAAAATATTTTATGGAAAATATTAAACAAAGTTTACTTATCTTAGATCCGTATTAATAATCATTACTTGAAACTTGTGCCACTTAAGATACTCACGTGAGGTGAGTTTATCTCAGGTGAGGTTATCTGAATCTAGAACTGGAGATCTGAATTTCTTATTTAAGTTATATGATATATGCAACATTATATTTTGCGCGGTTCAATTGAAAAACACATCTAACTCTAAATTCAAATCTAAGTATCTCGCTTGAGGCAAATTTCAAATAATGACTATTAATACAAGTATTAAATGTGTGCTCCTTTTGAATTTTGCATCAACATTTTTTAATTTTTGTAATATCTTTCTAAATTACCAGTTTTTCAAAATTGTCGTCTAAATTGCCGTAATTTATTGAGCAAGTTATCGTCATTTTCATCTCTACTTGTGCGTATTAACGATCGATTAATAACTAACATCATCCGACAACATATCAATTTGTGGAAATTAATAATTTTCAACGTGCCGCCGGACAAAGGCATTGAACATTTCATGACGCTACGGATGTGAACGTGTCAAAGTCTCGAAATTTACATCAGGCGATTTTGCGGCAAAGTCGTGGCGCAGTGTATCCAATTATCTCGGTTCATTTCGATTGAGGCGATTTGCGTTGTTAATTGACCGCGGGAGAACTCTCTCCCCCGAATGCTGTTCGCGAGTGATCTTTTTTTATCGAAAGCAGCGGGCACCACAGACGTCATTCTGCGGCGATAACTCCCGCCTGTGTGTTCCGAAGTCGAAATTCACAATCTTCCGTTACCGCGCGCGTTCCGTCCTGAATGAAGGAGAGCCTCCTCTTCGTGACGGCACAAGATGAAAGACTTTTCTCCGTGTCCTCAAGGGTCGTTTCGCACCGCAAGCGCACCTCACAATCGCTTTGTTTCGCGCCAGGTTTCAGCGCGATTCATCTTACCGGGGTGAACGCACGAGAGATCTGTCTCGGTTATAATGCGGCACAATGGAAGACTGCGCCGTTAGCTTCATTAACACACGAAAATTAGTGGCCAATGGAAGTCGGCGTGCCGTCGTCGGCGCGGATCATCACGTTGCCGAATGCAGCGTGCGGCATGCTGCACGAGCGCTAGATCGACTGATGCCGATTGTAGTAGCGATTGAGTTGTCCTTCTGTAGCGGTTTTCTTCCCGTCCTATTTCTTTGTTCGCTGCAGTATCCCCGCACAGCGATGCGATTGCATGCTATGCGCGCAATGACACGAATTAAAGCGGCTCCCAGTTGCACTGAATGTCATGTAGTTGCACAGTGTCGCGGTTATTCTAAGCGTAGCAATTAAATTAACATGCAGCCCGCGATTACGTGAGGTGCCGTACACAGACGGAATAGTGTACGTGCGTTTCCAACGCGATCGTTTCCAATCGTGTGAAATAAAACAAAAAAAAAGGAAAATAGAGAGAGAAAGACTTGAATGAACGAGGATTTTGTTCAGCGTTGAACTCGGCAATCCTCCGGATATCACGTGCGCGAGTCCGCGTAGTCGCGGATATGAGATTCTGATCGATTTAAGTCGGACGGCATATTACTCAGCATGACCGAGGAGGTGTACTTCTCGTTCCCTTTTCATTACCTTTACACGCAATATCGAGACGTTAATTTGTGTGAAGCTCCAGCGCCGTAACCGCGCGCGGCGCTCTCTGAAATATCGAATTTCACGTACTCCCTGTGAAATTCGATGTCGCGATGCCGGTGAAACATTTTAATCCCTAAACAGTTTAGGAGGTATTGCACTCGGAGGCCGGTCGCGCCTTTAAGGTAGTACATGCATAAAATAAATTATCCAAAAATTCGTTGAAATTTACACTATATATATATATAGATTTAAATATTATCTAATTATTGGTGCAATTGGAAATAGATTGACCATGCGAAAGCTGAGATAACGAAAGTTAAAGTTAGCACTTTTGATCGCAGATACGAAAATGGCTTCCGATAAAATATTTCCAATTCTGGTGATCAAACTACATCCAAGAGTTTTATGAAAAACTGTAGTAATATTCAAGACTAATGTACGGATATAATACAAAAATATCAAAATTTTTGACCATGTAGTTTTAAAGATATCGACGTCTAAATATCTTCATCTATAGTATTATTGTAAGTACGAAAAGTTTTGGCATGAAGTGTGGCAACAGCGCATATGTTAGTATGCGTTCGTTGGGACGCGTCATTGTTTTTTGTGTGTGTGTGTGTGTGTGTGTGTGTGTGTGTGTGTGTGTGTGTGTGTGTGTGTGTGTGTGTGTGTGTGTGTAGTAGGGACAGTCTCAATCAAACATTTGCACACGTAACCCAGGAGGAACTTTTGCTCTCTACTTTTTTATAGTACTGTCGCGGCGTTAGTACTACCTTAAAGCGCGTTTATCACGCTTTACTGCCGAATATATTAAAAAAAAGGGGGAAGAAAAACAAGAAAAAGCAGGAAAACGCATTTGACTACACATGACGCATGATAACTGCGCGCTTTAAAATCGCTGGCCGTTGAATCTCTTAACATAAATCGTTCCAAAGTTAGAGCGCGTTTTTAGCAATATCCTGCTTCAATAAAAACCTCGCGATTTCGGAATTCACAGACAGACAGTACGAAATTCTATATTCTTCTTGTTCTTATTGTCTATGTCCCGAAAAATATCATGTTTACGCGATGTATTGGCATAAGTCGATATCTCGATATTATATGTGTTAGGGAAAAGATATTCGGAGTCAACAAAGGATACTCGGTTGTTGTTTGCGGCCCCGATTTGACGCATGTGCATAAAATTATCGGCATTTAATCAAGAACGAGGAGCCGTCCCAGTAAAAACTGGCTTTATTTTCCACGTAGAGAAAATATCTTAATGGGAATACGACCGAGCCCAGTCATTAATGATTCCCCGAAGTATTCTGAGTTTCCTCCCGAGGGGTTCACTGCGTAACGCGAACGAAAGTCGCGAAATCGCAACTTGCTCAGTTGAGGATTTCGCAAAGTTTTAACGAATGTAAATTGACCGTCCAGCCGCCGAGTGGTCCGCTCCAAGCTTGTAATATATAATGAACTTTTTAGCGAGATAATTCGAGATTTATATACACGGGAACATCTGCCGTTTTCTCTCTCTCTCTCTCTCTCTCTCTCTCTCTCTCTCTCTCTCGCGTCCTCGCGTGATAGCGCCGCGTGGCGAATTTCGCGAAATAAGTCCCGCATAGTTCCGGCGCGACTTTAAAGCCGAGAGCGAGATGCGCCCCTTGCATTTTACCAGTTGCGCGCGCGCGAACTGTAACATTAATTAAATTTCTTGGTCAAAGTTTCCTCGCTCCCCGCTGAGCGGCCGTCGGGAAAATTATGCAATATTACTCTCGACGAAGATATCTAACGAAGACATTACGCAATGTTCTTTTTCCTCGTAAGTACCGCCAGTTGTACGTATCTCTGATTTCATGATTAGTAGTAATAATTGGGTATTACTGTCGCGCGTAAACAAGTAATTATCGTAGACTCGCAAAACTCGCGAACTCACGGCGGGTTTTACACTCATCGCCCCTCCCCCCTTTCCTTGCCTCATCCCTGACAAACCCTATGCGGTTTTGCAAAAGTGAGAGAAGTTAAATGGTATGAGAATCAAAAGCGATTAAAGTCAAAAAAATTATTTAATCAAACACGCGGACGCACACGCATTAGTTGTTCAGATTCTAACACGGTTTCTCTCAATGCATCTTTATAATTTGTCTAATATTTCACATCTCTTGTAACAATTTTGTTCTCACTTTAAAGCTCACAACACGTGCACTCGTCGTAATTAATCGCTATTGTTATAATTCAAGTGACATTTCTCGGGGTTTCTCGTTTTAATTTGAATTTCTTCGCTACTGCTTCGTTTTTCCTCCGATTCGCTTCGGATCGTAACGTTGTGCGCGAAATATTCCGGAGAACGTCGGCACTCTCGGTCGTGAAACGCGCTCCATCCGTGCGTCGAATTAAACCATGAACCACAGCTGCAACGTGATACGATTAGGGTGTATTATTCGCGAAGGGAGAAAGCACCGAAAGGCACGAGTTTTATCCGACTGGTGTCGCGCATGAGACATGCATCACCGCGTGTTTCGCGATCTTCGATAAGAATTGTCGAACTCGACATGAAAATTAGATGTACTTACTTCCGGCACCGTTGCTTGGACGCATTTTGCTATGTTGTATATCTTCTCGCACGGATCCGCGCCGTCTGGAACATCGATCGATCGGTTGGGTCAGAGAACAGGAAGCGACTCGTTCGCGAAATACGAGATAACAATGTCGAGTTTGCCGCGAGAAGGCGGTTTCGCGTTCGATTTACTTGCCTTGCTTGGCGCATTTGTTCAAGATCTTGGTGCCTATCTCCACATATTGTTCGGGCAAGACGCTAATCAGCATGTCGGTCTCTAGATCACCTTCTTCGTCAACCTGTGTCGTAGTTCTCGTGAATTTCGCGTTTGACTTGCCGAGCAAAGAGCGTAAAAAGAAACGTGTTTAAGGAATTAAATTACCAGACTGAACGCGTCGAGGAGGCAATTCATGTAGCATGTTATCGAACGATCGTCCGACAGCTGTCCATCATTAACCTGGTCGATAAGGGCTGCGGAATTAGAATGAAATTAGAACGTCCGACCATAGAAGGAGGAGGCGGGACGCCGTGCGTTCGAGATCTGCGTATCTTTTCGTTCCAGAGAGAGAAAAATATCGAGAGCGCGGTCTTGCTAGGCCGGGACTCGAACCCGGGTTTTTCGCTTGCCGGGCGACTGCTCTAAAATCACTGCACTATTAAATCCGTAGTGTCAAATTATACTCAATTTGAGTTATTTTTAACCATTCCTACACTGAGAAAAAAATTTACTAAATTTAAAAAAACGTTTGTTTGGATAGTACTGTAAAGATATTTGTTTAAATTAAATAATGATTTTCTAAAATTAAAGAAACAAATTTATATTTAAAACTTCTTTATTTAATTTTAGAAAATAATTACTTAATTTTAAAAAAATATCTTCATAGTACTATCCAAACAAACGTTTTTTGAAATTTAGTAAATTTTTTTCTCAGTGTATAAGTCGCCATTGCTCCTACTAAATATGTCGTTAATTTAACTAATGTAATGGAGTTAAATAATTTAACTTAAGAAATGTATTAAATTTGACTAAAATTTAGTTAATTTTTATTATGTGCATACGTTAATGTAACCTTTGTTTTAGTAAAAAATGACTTAATATTGTATTTTAAATGGGTTAATTAGATGTGGTTGTTTTTTTAAACACATGTTTTGTGTTAAAATAGTAAATTTTGACACACATGATAGTTAAAAATAACTAAATATTATTTAACTCAAGAAATTGGTTTAAATTTGATCCTCCAATATTTAACAGTGTGAGCTACCTGACGCTCCACGCTCACGACACTCTCCTCTCCCTAGATAACGCTCAGAGATGCCGTTCGGAAGTGGGCGCGACAATACGGTAATTCCGACACAGAAGATCCTAGAGTACCTTTCTGTTCGGAGAGATACGTTTGCACAGAGATTTCTCGTTAAGCTCACTACTGTCGAATTAGCGCCAAGAGCGTCGAGTTATCCGAGCGAATCGATCGTCCCCGCAGGATCATTGGCCGAGCACGCGAATATCTAACCGCGCGTAATTCTGTCGCGAGGAAGCGAAGCGAAGAGAAAGAAACAGGGAGGGAAACTCACCTTGACTCGTGCCGTGTTCAGCCATGCACCGTTCCTTGTCGCCTTGAACCATCTCCAACATTTCCGCGGGTATCCAGTCGGGCGGCTGCACAAAATCAGAATTTATTACGCGTGCGAAAAGCCTCGCGCGTAAAACTAGACTTTAAGCACTATTCGATAAATCGCGCGCGAATCGCTGCACATCACTAGCCGTGTGTGTGTGTGTGTGTGTATGTATATATATTATATATATATATATATATATATAT